GAACCTTGGCCCTAAGCAATTAGCTAAATACCGTCTTAAGACTCATTTTAAGGCTGTTTGCCCAGCTCAGAGTCCTGGCCTTAATTCCCAATATCACAAAAAAAAACCCACCACCACCAACCAAAAAAACCTCTTCAACTGTGAACTATCAAAGCAAAAGAATATCATCTTTATAATTCCTAAAATGTTAGATCATAACTATAAACTCCTAAGAGTCAAAGGAAATTATGTATAAATCCTCAAAATAAGAAAATTAGGATTATAAAAATCTGTGTTTCATCTATCAAGAAACACTAATATTTTGCAGATAATCAGACAACACCCATCTGTTCCCAGCATGAATCTCTTGATAAACACTCCATTTTAGCTATTGTAATATGGCACTTGCCTCTATGCAGGGCCCAATAGCTATGCTGCTGGGAAACGCAAAGACAATGTACAAAGAGACATGGACAAGCAACACACTAATGTTCATGGTTATTTATCCTTCATCCAATTCCAAAGCTAACTTGAATGACAAAGTTATCACTTAAAACAGAAATAAAAACACAAAATTAGCAGATGACTTACTTTTATGCAACACAAGAGAAAAATAAATACCTCTCATGACTTTAGACAAAATAGGAAGACCTCGTTTCAAAACAAAAAGCAAACAAAATTTAAAAAGTCTATAGATTCAGATGGCTAGGAAGGGAGGGACAGCAGACTGAGGGGCTGGCATGGCTGGTTTATGGTTAAGGGTGCATGTCACCAAGTTTCCTTTGAAGATGATGACTGGTAATAGCTGCACAAATCTATGATCAGGCTAAAAAACCACAGAATTGTAAAGGCTTGAAATGAGTGATTTGTACGGCATGACAAATACATCAAAAACACTAACAATGAACAAATGTAATAAAATTGATTTTTAGTGAAAGAGTAGAGCTAGGGGAATAGCATGGTGCAAAAATGCTTGTACATGCCTTCTCCCCCCACCCCCCCGTGTGTGTGTCGGGGGGGATGAGAATAAGAGAGAATAGAGGTAAGGACCCTTCACTTAAGGTCAGTGGAACCTTGAGGTTGCAGTAACCACTCCTCCTCTCCCAAACAAGCTAAGATTAGTGGGAACCTCAAAAGGGGAGCAACAGGACACCCTCCCCGCTCCCAGATGTCAAAGGTAGGGAACCTGGCCCTTCAAGAGTGTCTTCCACATTTGCCACCTACTACCAAAGTGGTATCAGAGGAGACCTAGTAAAATGGATTGAACAGGGCCAGAGTCTCATAACATAATACCCCAAATGTCCAAGATGCAAGGAAAAGCATACCAACAACCAGAAAAATCTCAACCAGAAAAGGAGAATCCAGAGATGCCAGCATCAATTACAGATAAAAAAAAAAAAAAATTCTTATGGATTTTAAAACTCTTATCATAACAAAATGCTTAAATAGGGGACTAAAGAAATGGCTTAGTTGGTAAAATTCATGCTACAGAAGCATGAGGATTTGAGTTCAGAATCCTAGCATCCACATAAAAGGCAGGTGTGGCATGTCTATAATCTTAGGAATGAAGACATAAAGATGGGCAGATTCCTAACACTCATTGTCCAGACAGCCTAGCCAGTTGGTGAGCTCCAGTTACAGTTAAGAGATCCTACCTCAAAAATATAAGGTGGAAGACTGAGGAAGGAAGACACCCAACTAGACTTCTGGCCTCCACATGCACACATACATATATGCACACACACAAGAACCCCTATATACATCACATACATACACACACACAAAGCTTCAGATAATCATGAACACGAGAAATGAATGAAAAAGTAGTCTCAGAAAAGAGAGCTAATATGAAGAAGAACCAACTGGGAATTTTGAAACTGAAAAATAATAGATGAGCTCAAGAACAGAATGGGGCAAAGATCAGTTAACAGGAACTGCCCAATCTGACAGGAAATGAACCTTACACAAATGACAGACACACGGGACCTCTCAGGACCTAAAAAAAAAAAAAAAAACTTCTGGGGGGTATTACCAAGGTCACAAAAGAACCAGAGAAAGAGGCTCAAAAGAATTCAAAATATGGCCAAAAAATAAAAACCAGATAAGACTAAAGAAATCCACGTAAAATCCATAATATCAAACTATTGAAAACTAAAGACAAGTCTTAAAGTAGTGTGAGAAATGTTATCAAAGGGCAAAAACAATTCAACTGACAGATTTCACATCAAAAACTGTGAAAACCTGAAAGGAGTAGCATAACATTTTCATGCTGAAAGGATTATCATTCTCAAATTCAACACAGTAGTTTTCCCTTTCCCTCTAGAAATGCCTCACAGTGGATGTCGGAGCCATACATTACCAAACCATATGCATAATATGCTTTTTCCTATATGCACACCTGTCATACAGTTTAATAACAATATACTTGTAATAAGATTGCCAGCTTCACTACTCTTGTACTTGGGTGCTATTATTAAGCAAAATAAGGGTTACTTAAAAACAAAAGCACTAAAGCTCCAGAACAGTCAATATCATGGACATCGATACCACAGCAGACACACAACTTTAAGTGATTAGTCAGTGGGTAGTGTCTCCAGAGTATAGATATATTGGACAAAGGGATGGTTCACATCTCAGGCAGAATGAAGTGAGACCACACAATTTCTCCACAATACTCAGAACAGTACACAATTTCAAAATATTAAAATATCAATATATTGTGATGAATTATATGTATATGCACTATAATGCCTAGAGCTACACCAACTAACAGTCACAAAGAAATACACTAAAAAACACTATACACCCATCAATTTCTGGAATTTTTCATTTAATATTTTCAAAGTATAGTTATCTATAATGCATGTAGCTGAAAGCATGGAAAGCTAAGCTGTGAATAAGGGAGGAATGCTAATCTTGTGAAATTATCCCTCAAGAATGATGGGGAAACAGATATCCTTAGATGAAAGAAAATTTAGAATCTGTTGCCAACAAACCTACTGTAAAACAATCACCAGAGAATTTTTCAAGTAGACCAGAAATAAATTCTGGAATATGAGGAAATAAGAAAACAAGAAAAACTACAAAAAAATATCAACACAACAGATTTTCCTTCTCTTCTTGAGGTTTCTAAATTGACAGAGAAAGCAGAAATTGTAACACTGTCTGGTGTGGGCTGCTAATATATGTAAAGAAAAGAGTTGTATACTTTCAAAATGTAAAGTTTACATATACTTTTACAAGTATATTATCAAAGAATTGAGTAAAGGAACATAAAGGGGTAAAAATCTTACACTTAAGCTATTAAAACA